AGAGACACAGATGCTCTCCAAGTTTTTTGCTAATGGAGGGTGGTTTGTGCTTTTATGCTGCCTTCTGAAAGAAGCTTGATTTAACACCTAAGGAGTTACGGGAGTGCCATGCTGATGTCTTTCTGTTCCTTGGAGCTGTGACACCTTGAAAATAGTCTCCTTCTCATAGTCAAATTGGCAGCTTTCATGCAAAGCTCTACATGCCATTTAATAAAAGTGTGAATGACCTTCATTAGGCCAAGAGGTTTTTCTCTGGCAATGATGCCAGGGAAATTGCAGGCTCTTCTTTGCATTTAAACACAGTAGAGTTGTGATGAAGGAAAGGATGTGCTGTAGGCCACCCAGCATGCTATAGGACTCTGGGCTTACAGGTAGGCCACACCAGCAAAACCAGTATCATTTTATTCACAGTCCTTCTGATCTGCTGCCCTGGGTACGACATAGCTGGCTTTGTCACCCAGCTATTGCAGAGTTACATCTGCTCCTACATTTCCTGTGGCGCATGGGAGATGTATTGCAGAGAGGGCACTTAGGAGAGCAGCCCACAAGTGAGGAACAGGGAAAGCAGGAGGTCAGTAGCTTCTACTACTACTAGAAGCTTCTGCCCCAGCCCTAGCAGGACAGAGTGATTAGTTTGCCCCAAGTAAACTGGGACATGACTTGTCACAGGGCAATGCTAACTTAGAATACATGGCTGGGTTTATAAGCAAAGAGATTCAAAGAAAATAAACCTTTGGAAGCATCTTGTCCAACCCATTCTGAATTTATGTGTATATGTGAGGGTTGTTGGTTTCCCCTGGAGAGCCTTTTCTCTGCAGATTGGTGTGTCTGAAAAAGGAAAAACCTCCAACCTAAACACAGTTAGCTTTCATATTCAAGAGCTAAAATCTGCCCCCAGTCATATCTGTGAGGCATTTTTATATTACTGAGGCCTCCCTGGCACAGTATATTAGAGTGTAAAATGTGCAGTCAGTGACAATGCACATCTTAGATCAATGATACTTCTCCTGCTGTTTGCAGGTGACCCTGTTGCCACACCTCATCATCCTTGTGTACCTGCAGGCATACCTGGTAGTGCTAATCAAACCCGGGATTGCTGGAGAGCAGAGAGGCTGCATAGAGGCCAGGGTTGGGCATCCAGTTAAATAGCTGTGAGGGCAAGACTTGCAGGCAGTGTTTAATTAGGTGACCAGGTCTCTCAGGTCTCACATGCTCAACACATGATTTCTCCTTTGGTCTCCTACTGAGGTGCTCAAACCTTGTGGATGCTACCACACCTCGTTCACATTAGGAGATGAGATGTCACCCTCATAAAACCATAGAATCATAGAATCATAGAATCAGTTGTGTTGGAAGGGACCTCCAAGATCATCAAGTCCAACCCTTGATCCATTACCGCTGTAGTTGCTAGACCGTGGCACTAAGTGCCACATCCAGTCTTATCTTAAGGGATGGAAAATTCACCACCTCCCTGGGCAGCTCATTCCAATGCCTGATTACCCTCTCATGTGTGCTGTCAGGACAGCCTGGTGCTGCTAGCCCTCTCCCATGCCTGCCTGGGGGCCCCCTGGCACCAGACAGGAATGCTCCATCTGTCCAGCAGCACAGCAGAACACAGCACAACACAACACCTGTGCCATGACCAAGAGCGACCCTGTTGAAGGAGGCCTGGATGCTGACTCATGAGTTAGGGAAGGTTTTTTTCAAACAGTATGTAAAAAGGGGCAGAGCTGTATTTCCAGAGGAAGGAAACAATGGAAAGAGAGCAATAATTCCGTGGTTTGACCTTGTGCGGACTGCGAGCAGCTCCAACTCCCAGTGTTCATAATTGAAAGATGAAAATCTTTTCTTTCACAGGTCACAGAGTAATTGCAAAGAAAAGAGCTACCCAGTCAGCTTCAAGCAGGTGGGAAGGTGTTCATGCCTTGGCTGCCGTTCCCCTGCTCTCACATCCAGCGGGCAGCCCCATCTGGAATCCAGTCAGAGGGAAAGGGCTTGAAAGCATTGGGTGTGTTTTTCTGGCAAAGAGAACAACCTCCAACTGTCACTGCAAGTATTGTTCACCTGCAGTAATCACACCCTTTCACTTCCTCCTCTCACCACAAGGTCATCTCCAGGACATGTTTATAACTGAATTTTTGTTTTCTCTGGTAAAAACAGGTTTTAGTATGCTCATTTGTACTTTTACCCTTTTCATTTGGAATTTACCTGAAATGCTTTCATATGCTGCTTTCACAACACAGATATACAAAAGCTAAAACAGAAGACAGGAAGAAGCAAATTTGTCTGAAAGGTCTGAAATCACCTTTGTGAAAGTGAAAAAGTGGATCAACAGGGTTGTCCACAGCAGTAAAAGATGTTAGATGGTTGCATTTGATGGAAAAGTGTTTCCATGCAGCCGTTCAACAGAGTGAGTCCAATGTCAATAAAACCAGTCATTCAGAAAATAATTTCTATCACTATGTTTGGAAGATGATGTGCATACACATATAAATGTGTGTGTGTTGACTGTGTGTATGCCTCACCACACCATTACTTAGTTTTCTTACTGTCTTATGCTGCCTATTAGCTCTTTACTTCATTTTCTAATTAATCACCATCAGTAAATGCCATGAACACGTTATTCATCTTGTCCTGGTCACTCATGCAGATGTTAAATAGGACCCATACTGAAGAGGGTTTCTCCCTGTAAGCCTTTGTCATATTTCTGATGACCCAAGAACTATGAACTTACCAAGCAGATGGGTGAACCTCCCCTATGGCCATTACCTTTGTGGGCGAGAGATGACAAAGTAAATTTTTCTCTAAAAGTACCTTTCTCACATCTCTTCTCTCAGCATCCTGGGCCCATTGAACCTTCCAGAGTCTGACAGAGCCTAGTGTCAGAAACTTTTGAGGTGGCATTGATCCTTTACTTTGCTCTGAAATAGACAGGACTACACCTCTGTGTTTTTCTGGGTGGGAGTGTAAAGTTTGCTGCAGCTACTCATAAAATTTGATTTCTTTAAAAATCTTCTGTTGTGTGCTGACAGCTGCCTCCCCAAACAAGGCCATTCTTTTATATGGTCAATGCTTAAAACCACATCTAATAGCTCCCGGAGCAGACCTTTTAAAAAGGTGATCTGAATCAGCACAACTTGAGGGACTCACACACTTATCCTGTGGTACCTTCAAATTCTACCTCAGCTATATTGCTCAAAAAAATACCCAGAATTTTTATGATAAGCTAGATACTAGTTGAAAGCTTTTCTATCTTGTTCTGTAACATTTTGTTTCCTTTTAGATTTTTTGTTTGTTTTTTTTTGCTACTGACAGATTGTCCAGAGATTGTCACTAAATTCTCTATTAAAATACACTGATGTCTCTTCTGAATTGGTGTACTCCAATCAGTACCTAGTACCATTTGGAAAGAGTTCAAACTGCATATATTTAATCTGACGATGTTTTGTCTGTTTTTCCATCTTTTTTCCATTTCCCCTGGAATACACCCAAAATAGCTCAGTGTCATCAGCAAATCTTGGAAATGGAACTCAGACAATGGAGAACTGTTTATGGACATTGGTGTATTCCAGCTGCTCTTTTTTTTTAAGAATTCATGTGATAGTTAATTGAGCACAATCCATCTTCATTTTTAAGCCAGTGTTTAGGTGTTAGTGACAAACTATGAAGGCCCCATAGAGTTCTGTAATCTTCTGTATAAACAAACCCCGGTCCCACCCAAAAGACTTGAATATTTTGAGAGTGGAGGCCATCTTCTGTACTGATGAACAGGCTGCTGAGACTGTCTTATTCCTGGGGCCTGGTCTTCCTGTTGCACAAAACCCTTGAACATTTCAAAACAAGTTTAAGAAAGATTTCTGTTATTTTTCTAATTGTCTCGGTTTAAATAGACTGGAATGTTTGCTAAGGAGGATGAGTTATGAGATAGACCAAACTCCTCTGTCTCAGCAACTGTAAATCCAGAATTAAGAGGCTCAAATCGAGGAAGTATGGGAAAAAAGGAAGAAATAACAGCCCTTTATTAAAATATATATGTATGTTGGCAAAGACAGTAACAGAACACAAAAAACAACTAGACAATAGTCCTGTACCCAAAAGTCCCATTAAAAAAAAAAACAACAGTCTGAATACTTCTCTGTCCTCTAGCGCAGTTTTAATCATGGTTGGCAGGGGGAACTGTTGGATCACTGGAGGAGCAGAGCCTGCAGTGCTCTGTGGTGCCCTGCAGGGGGCGCTGTTGGCCTCTGCCGGTCACCGCGTGGGGCCTCGGATCATGGGAGAAGCTGGAGTGGGGCCTTCTCCCACCAAGAGGGGGAAGGGAAGAAAGGGAAAGAAGGGCGGACCACTTCCCACGGAACTCGCCACTGTCCTTGGCTGGCGATGCTGAAGGCTCCTCTTTTTCTCCCACCGAGCACAAACTCTCCGATGAAATCGCAGCAGGTTCAGGCTGGAGGCAGGAGCAGCATGCAGGCAAGCCGAGGTGAGTGGTCAGAAATGACCAGGTCAAGAGCAAGAAAAAACGGCCTCAAAGTTTTTCCAAATGCACACAGACTCCCCTCTCCGTTTGAGTAGAGAAACCAAACTGTTCTCCCATTTGTGAGGAGGACAGCAGCAAAAACTCCTCCTCCCTCCCTCCAGTCTTAGATGGGACATTAGCCGGTAATGGAGTTTTTGCCAGCCAGCTCTTTTTTACAGTCGGTCACCTCTTCTCCCTCTCCCACAGCACGACAGGGGAAAGGAAAAAATTCCTGCTTGAGTTTTTTTGAACAAGCCAACCTATGACACTAATTTTTCTAATCTGTAAACCAGTGGCCTGGGACTTTGCCTAGATTTCAAATATCAAAGAGCTGATTGAAATGCTCTGGACTGACCCCATAAGGAACACTCTGTAATCCTTTTGTTGTGCAGGCATTAGTTTCCCTTGAGCTATGATGATTTCTTGATTCAGGAAGATAGTGTTTTCTCTGTGAACCAAAAGCTGTATATTTTTTTCTCAGGAGTCAGAAGTTCCTTTGGGCCTTATCATATGCATCAGGGATGGGGTTTGTCACTAACAGCTTTACAAAGGTGTTACTTCTCATCATCTGCAATGTGTCCCACTGCTGTCACACATCTAACCTCTTCCTGTGATTACATGGTTCATGAACACCTCTTCAGAAGGCTGGATTTCCCAAATACATACACACAAAGTGTGGGTGGTGCAGCCAGCTAAGCTGGTGTTTGTGCACAGGTAAGTCTCTGTTCCCAACCAGGTACAAGACGGGATGAAATGCTACAAGAGTGGCAGCTTCCTTTCACACTCAGTTTTCAGAAATAGGCTAGAGCACAGCTGCTTTTGCCACTTGGCCCCAAGCAGGTCGCCACTGAGGAAGGAAAAGAGCAGTGGTGTCCTCAGAAGAAGCGATGGTGAGGGAGGGCCATCATTTTTATTGCCCCGCAGTCCCAGCATCATGTGTTGCTTGTTGAACATACCTGTCCTAAAGAAGAAATATCCCCTCTCTGCACATTTTGGTGATTGGCAAAAAAAAATAAAAAAAGCAGCCCAGAGCTGTGTGAAAATGCCAAGTAAATAAATGAAGACCTCTTGCCACAAGCAAAACATTCATGACTCAGGGAGTTTAATTTAATTTAATTAATTTTCAAATAACATAACCTTTTAATAACTGGTTTGGTTATTGAGGGGAAAAATAAGGGGCTGATTGATAAAACAAACACTGAGGGAAATGTCTTTCTTCTCCTTTCCCCATGCTGAGCTTCAGTCCAACACTTCTCCACCTTTTCTGATATCCACTTCCCACTTATTTTCACTGCATGTTGCACTTGGTCCCTCCCCATCCCTTTGGGTGAGGTGACAGACGACACAGGAGGTTGGGTTGGTGCATAGCAGGTTGTCCTCTGCTGATCCATGCCACCCACTGCTCCTCATCCTGGTGTGGGTACTTTGTGGGCTGCAATCCCTCTAGGGTCTTCCTCAGCAAAGAGATCCACCTTCCAGCTGTGTCTCTCCAGCACTGTCCCCTGCTGCTTGCCTCCCATATGTAATTTCTCCAAATTTTGGAAGTCATAGCAGTAAAGCATTATTGTCCCTGTACTGTCCAAATTTATTCTCTTCCTGACATATCAAGCTTTTTCTTCAAGTGAAGTTATTTCTCTTTCCCTTGAGCCACTGCAGGCTGCCTACACCAGCCCGTTTGTTTTTTCCACCTTACTGGTAGTCCTCAAATTTCTTTTAGTGTTTCTTTTTCCATGTGGAAGCGCTGGTAAGACCTAAGTTCTCACTGGCAATTCCTGGCTGAACAGTTCATATTTTGACACACATCAAAACCTCTCTTTTTCAAGTATTCGATGCCATGCATTTTAGGGATGTGACTCTTAGATATCCTCTCTGAAATTTACATTGGAAATTTGAGGAGTGTGTGCTCAATTGAAGGAGCACTTTTCTGTGGTTGAAATGAAAAGGTGTGAGTGCTCTCTGGTAAGTAGAAACTGCTCAGCACATAGAGCAATACACCTGAGCCACTGGGATGCAAAAATAGCTCCTTTCTTCTGTTCCTCTTGAGGGATTCAAGACACAAGAGTTTGTTTATATAGCTTAATTAGTAACTGTGCAGCTTACTAGTGTTTTCAAACTGAGAATTAGCTATGAATATCCAAACAAAAGTGACAAAGGATTGTAGCAGAGGTATCTGAAAAATAGTCATGTAATACAAAGAATGATTTTTTTGGTTATAGGTTCACTGACAGAACTGTGCTTCCTATCTACATGTAGAAATGGATAAAGAGCAATTTTCTTGGCCATTTAACAATGCAGAGAAATATAGCAACATGTCTATCTATTCAGGTCAAAGTTCCTCAACTCTGTCATTTGTGCTTGGATACAGATACAAAAATGCTCCTCTTTGGTTGACTGAGAAGTGTTTGCAAACAAAAAGCACTCCAGTCTAAGAACTTCAATCCAGTGATCCAGAAAAATACTTTTTTATTTCTTCAGATATTGTGGCTTTGAGAAGAGAATTTCAGCTTTATCTCCATGTTCCCATATCCGTTTCAGTGCAGGTAGGTTGGTCCTGTACAAATTATTGTTACAAAGCAGTTTGATATAAAGCAAATACTCTTCCCAACTGAAGCAAAATGCACATGCTAAAAGGATATACATGTTGCCCTGAACTAATTGCCATCCTTATGATGGTTCTGCTGTGACATGTGAGTGAGCAGGTTGACACAGGCTGTCAGTTTTACAGATGGGCCTTTCGGAGATTGCTCTAATATGTTGGACAGCACAGCAGGCAAGGTCATCTTTGCTGCAGCATGTATCCAAAACCCCTCTCCGAACGCACATTGTTGCTCGCAGTTGGCCTGGTGGAAATGATCTGTGTCCCCTTCCGATGCAGTTAGCTATCCTCAGAGGGGTAAAAAGAGACAGAAAACAGTGGGCAGTCTCTCCATTCTATGCTTTGCATATGAAGTCCTGGGCACAGGGCCCTTACATTGCAGATGCCCTGATAAACCCCCAACAACTGCTGTTCAGATGTTGCAGTGACCCTAGAATTGCTTGCCCCTCTGCCCCACCATTATTCCACCCATAGAATACCCCATTCGCCTTAGGCTCCTCAACAGGACTGCTCACAGGCAGGTAATCCAGCCAGAGCTAGCTGTTTCCTCTGCTGGACTCCATCTCGAGTGCACACAGCTGTACCATGGTTTCAGCAAGTGCTCTACCCCTCAGTCTCTGAGTTTTTCACCTTCAGCTATGGAGCTGGGCATTCTCTTATCTAATCTCAAGCTTGAGAAAATTACCTCTGTTGAAACATGGCTTTTATGTTAGGTTGTTCTTTGATCTAGTTTTGTACTGCTTTGGGAAAGGCTGGGCCAGTTCTGTGTTGTTCTGTGTTACTTTAGTGCAGTGCTGATTGCTGTACCCTGATTTTTCTGGATGGGCCAGGAAAAGGTGGCAGGTCTTATAAAATCTAAATATTAAATCTCATTTGACTGCCCCTCATGAGGATAAAATCACAGGGAAAACTTTCATTATTTGGAGCAGAAGCCCAGCCAGTGTCATTTGTCTGTGAAGGCACACTTCTGAATCCTTTTTCAGCTAAAAAACAAGTATAAAATAAGTAAAAGAAAACAAGCAAACCAAAGCAAACCAAACAAAACAAGCACAAAAAAACCCCCAAAAAACAACCTACGAAAAAAACAACCCAACACACAATAGAAAAAAAACCCACAGATTTTCTCAGCTGTATATTAACATCTGAGCTGTTTACTTACATGTATAAGGGCTAGGGACCTGACTGTGCCGCAGTCATTGAACCTCATCTTAAGGATGAAATGAAAGTTGTTTTCATGAAAAATTTCTTTGACCCATCTACAGGCAAAGTCACTCCCGGTCTTTTTATCTCGTCTTCGCATCCTGCTGAGATAGCAATGCTGAAGCCAGAAGCTGTTGAAATGAAAGGTTTTACTGCCTGTTTTGTCACAGTAAATGGGTTGTGGAAAGGAAACATTTGAGGGTGGTGACTCCAAGAAGTTATCCCAGCATTAGGTTCTGTTGCAGGAGTGCCAGACATCTCTTAAAAACAGCTCTCATAGCCCTTGGAGATGACATTCATGGCAGACAGACCCAACTTCAACTTCTATGTGCTTTTCTAGCAGTAAAAATACTTATTTTATGGAAACTTTAGTTTAACTCTTTGGAATAAGTTTGCAGGGAGAAAATAACTAACAAACTTTAATATACAACAAATTGAGCTGGATATAGCTATTTGTTGCTGGTTCTGCTCTTTCAGCTGCACCAGCCATGGGAATAAATCAGATTTGTTTTGAAAGAGGAACACACTCCTAATCCTTAGATGTACAGAAAAGCTTTTTAAATTCAAAATGTAGCTTGAGAATTATTAGAGAGCTCAGGTGGCAAAAATTAGCGCAGATCTGTGCAAGACGTCTCATTCCTTATATCCGTGGAATGCAAGTGATGGAACCTTCTTAGCATTAGAATTAACTAACACTGACAGCTGAAGCTAAAATAAAATTGTCACCTACCACCGGAATATCTAAGATGTTTAAACATGATGTGTGCTGACTTCTTAAAAGTCATCTCTATCTGTTGAGCATTTTAAAGAATGGAGTTTCTTCATAAAGAGGTGGGGGGACATATCTATTTTTCCTCCCCAGTAGCTGTACTGTGTTGTCATTTGCATGTTAGAGAGCTTTGCAGCTACTGCAAACTAATATTAACTCTCTTTATATTGGTGAAAATAATAAGATCATTCTGATTTATAGCAGCTGGCTTTTATTTTGTCCATTTCTGACACGACTCAGTTCGTAGATGCGTGTAAGAGCCTTAACTTTTAAGGATTTGCATGACACAAGCCATGAAGGTACCCCAGTTATTGCTGCCAGAAGGAAAGCTTTGCCTGGGCAGCGAGCTGTACTCTTATAAGCACCCCACTGCTGTATCCCAGCCATTGCCACACAAATTGCATTGTGCATGAAATACAATAGCAGAATATTATCCCATGCTAATAACAGCAGCCAGCTGAAGTACTCTCTGCTGTGGGACGAGAGTGAGCCAAACCAGCTGTGTAGTTAAGGATATGAAATCAGGGGGAAATTGGTACAGATTGGTCAAACTCCCTCCAAAATCTGACTCCATTGATGATGTGAAATATGGATTTCCTAAAATATGAAAGGAATGACTTGTTCTCCCATCATTAGTGGCTGAAGGTAAATACTCATTATATTGAATTAACAAACTACTACCTTTATAATGCCATGGCTGAAGGCTCTTCAGGGAAGATACTGACTCATATGACTGCTCTTGCTCATCCTTTTCAGCCTGAGCAGGAGAAGGATGTGCACAGAGATATGACACATGCTGCTTTGAATCTCAAGTAAGTGGAGGAGGTACCGTTGTTTCAGATACTAACCTCAGTGTCAGAAACAAATTGATATGCTGGTCAATTCTAGGATTTTCAATGTGAACATTTGCATTAGTAAAATAGGCAACCTTATTTTGAGTTAATTTTTAATTTCTCTTCTTATTTACCCCTTTTTTAAAAAATGAAAGATCAAAAGTGGAGATGAACAGGTAAATTGGAGGAGGAGAGGCTTTGCAAGTGATAGCTGAACCAAAAATTTGGAGAGGAAAATAATTGTCTTGCATCTTCTTTTTCTTTGGTTGGAGACTTTTTTACTTTAAAGTGAAAAGGGAAAAAAGCCCATCAGTTTGAGTTCAAAGAAGGCCTTTTGTATGAAACCTGCTCTGTGAAGTTTTGGGGTTATTGCACTACTTTGTGGATGCATTTTCACAATTTAAAAATGTTATGCACAGGTGAAAATATGAAAGGATGATTTTTTTTTTTTTATTGAGAAAGCAAAACCAAACAGGTTTAGTTCCTTCAAATCCTTCCCCTAACCTCTTTGGTTTTGACAAGAGGTGTTATTTTGATTTGCTCTGGATTTCTGGGTTATTTTAGTAGAGATTTGTGTTTCTGGTCAATTTTATTATATGTCCATATCAATGCAGCCAGCGTGTAGTAATAAAGAAGACAAAAATAAGGATCTATTTTCATAACTCTCAGAAGAATTTTCTAAAAACTTGTCTTCCTGCTTTCTAGTTAATTGAAATTTCCTTCCCTTGGCTCACTACTTTCAAGGGCAAAACCAAAGGGCATCTTCTGGGCTCAGTTCCCATAGAGGAATGTGCATGTAGTTGCTGCTCACTGCCTGGGAGTGTATTTTCTAAAGATCTCTCCTGGCTGTTTTCAAATATGTTTGTTATTTTTTTTATTTTGTTTAATCAACAGTTTTCTCATTGGTTTTATTTACACAGTGAAACATACATACAAATAGCAGTATATAAACTATAACATGAAATTACCACGTAGCCAAATTTCTGCTAATACATGCTTACTTTTTCTTCTCCACCCCCCAAAACATCCCAACATTAAAGCAAAATAAAAGAAAAATACAATCCCAAACCCTTGAAAAAACCCAACAAAGACTTATTAACATTTTGGAAAATAAAAGTAGGTCTAGTAATGCTCATTAGAAAATTGAAGCTCTTCCTATTCTTTTCCAGCTGAAGGGCAGACCTTGTCCTTTCCATGGTGGTAACTTACAGAAAGAAAGGTGAGTCCTCAGGCAATCAGATCAAATAGAGGACGTTGGTTAAAAACCTACTTATTACTGCTTGGAAATGTGCTGAAATTGCAGTAACATGACCTGTGATAAATTTACAAGCAGTTGTGCCATTGCTTCTCACTGTGTATCTACACAGACTCTTGAGGTGTGAAAATAGATAAATCCTGGGTAAAGAAATCAAAGTTTTTGCTGTCTGGTAATACATGGCTTAGAAAAAGAAGAGGCATGCAATAGTGTCTCTGTGTGTGGGAAATACTTATCTGCAGTATTACTGACACATATGGATTTTTTTAAAAGAGCTTTTTCCTCAGGGCTTGTATGGAAGGCCCAATAATGGAGGTACCTGCATACTTTCCCAACTGATCTTGGACTTAGGCATGCACTCTGGACATACATCACAGAAATGTGAAGGATTATAAGGACAAGGGAAAGATCAGAATAGGATAATACAGCCTAGGATGTGTTTCATAATGCCGTGACACATTACAAACCCCTACAAGGTACAACCTTACTCACTGTGTAAGACCTGCTTTGAAACAAGGGTCTCAGTTCAGAACTCTGTTGTATCATGCCCTTCTTAGTAATTTTCTGACATTTGGCTACTGAAAACCAAATGCATATCTTTTTATGTGTTTGTACGTCCATATTCTCTTAACTAAAACATATTAACTTGAAAATGCTAGAGTTAGATTTTTATCTCTCCTTCATGCTTGATTCTGAAAAACGTTCCCTAGTCCTTTCAGGTCTACTATAAATCAGATGTTGTCTTTAAAATAACGTAAAATATTCAGAGAGAATGATTTAGGTGAAAATACAATGGATATAACATTCTCCTCTATTCACCACACATTTTCCATTGATGCCTCCCAATTATGAGAAATGAACTATTACGTACATTGCTTCCTGGGATTTTCAGTTTCTGCGTATCATTTTTGGGTTAAGTGCTCCTTTGGTAATCCATGTCTCGCTGCATTTTTGTCATGAACCCAATGTCAAGTAAATACAAGTCCTCAGCTAATCAACACCTTGACCCCTGCTTTCAAGAGGAACTGAAAGAAGCACAAAACAAATAATACACTTCCTTTACTGTTTAATATATAAACCATGTCATACTCCACAAGGTTTTTCTTTGAACCTTCTCCTAAAACTAAAAGTAAATTTGTAATCAGAGCAGATGTCACAATTTTTGCTTCTGTGTACATCTCTCCATAGTGCAATGAGACGCTGTCTATTTACATACGAAAACTCAAGTCATCAATTGGCCCGGGTGGTTGTACTTATTTGACTTAGGCCAATGTGGATGTAAAACCTTGGAATGAAAATATACACGTTGCTTGTACTGCTGCACAAATAACATCCTTGAAGAGAACTGAAAGGAAATGGTAAAGCTGAGCTAACCTAACATACTCTGTTTAATAAGGGGCTCTGTGGCTTTGGAGCAATGACATCTCTGTACTGCAGGATCACTTTTATTCCCCACTAGATCTTTAACAGCCAGAACAACACATGTGCCTGTGTGGCATTGCTATCAGCCTAGAAATTCTTTTGGGTCTGACCTGGTTCCATCCTGCCCTGCCAGACACCCAGAGACATGTTCCCAGTTTGCTTCACCTGCTTTTAGCCAGTACACCCTAGGAGCCACCACACGGTGCTGGGAGGAGCCCAATCACACTCACAGGCTGCTGGGCAGCCAGTCCTTAGCTGTGCCAAGACCATGGGTGAACACCATCCTCTTGCCTGTCCCTCAGCACCTCCAGAGGCGGAAGTTCCACACCCCTTTTGCTCCAAGCCAGCTCATACATTCACACTTTTTAGTGCTAAGGCTTTGCTTTTTGCTCCAAGCAGCGGCTTGCATTTTAAGTGGAGGGATCAGGGGTGGTGGTTTTTTGGGGGGAGGGGCGTTGTTTTTTGGGGGGGAGTGTGGTTGTTGTTGTTTTGTTGTTGTTGTCCTGTTATTTTTTAACTATTGTAGAAAAAAATACCAGCAAATATTTTCTTGGTGTTTCACTTTTTATGACAATATTTACAATACTTTTTGTTGCAAATTTGTGTTGAGGAGGTTCTGCAAACAAATATTGCCTTAATGTAAATTTCTAACTTTTCCCTGGGAGAAAATAATGTTTTTCAAGATATTTTGCAGTCTTTTTCTTAATGTTTTTCTCTCATGAAATCCAATATAACCAGTCTTTATTTTTTGGATTGCCACTTTGCTGCTGTCCTCTTTAGAGAGAAAAAAAAATTAAATACACTGAGGTAGGACAGAGGAGAAATAAAATAGAAAAATGTCTCCCAGGCATAAGTTACACTTTTTAAAATTGGTACATTTGGGAACCTCCAAAAAGGAAATATTAAAGTATGTGATTTCCCATATCTCTGCTTCTGACAGACTCTGATGATGTGTTTTCAATAGCATTTTAAATTTAACCTATAGAGTATCAGAAAAAGATAATTATCATTCTGAGGTTTTAAATTGCTTCCCAGAAAGATACAGGGATGAATTCCAGGCAGATCGTGTTTGTCTTTTTAGGGGTGAGTAGAGGACAGTGACTGAATTTTTCATCAGGTCTTGCCATTTTCAGCTGGTTTTGCCTTAAGATGTATTTCTAAAAACCTGAACTATAGCAGGGATGGTGGGAAGATGTTCCTCTTCATTGTGCTCTGGGTCAAATGCAGATTTTGACCCTGGATCACTGTGATTTAGGAAATTTAGAGACTCGAGCCTGGGTACCTCCTTTAGGCTTTCCTTTAAGAGTTTTGTATCATGATGACAGGTTGGATGTCAGCTGTTTTGGATGGTACCTTATACTATGGGGATGAGTTTTAAAGTTTTCCCAACTCCAACTGGATTTATTTAAGTCTGTGTATTAAATAACTGCAATAGAATTGTATTCACATAGATCTTTTATGGACCTAGAGAAGGCAAGACAAGGAACATTCACTCCTGTATTGTATTTGTGTTTGTGTGTGTGTGTACGTGCGTAAAATAAGGGGTAGGAATACTGGCAATTCCCTGTGTTCACTCATAGATGGCACTAGAAATTCTTGTAATTACTTTCTTTGGAAAGTGAGTAAAATCATTTTTACTCTTCTACCAATAGGTGGAACTGGTAATGTCTTTGCTACTTACAACCTGACTCAAGGAGCAATGCTTTCCTCTTCCTTGCTCCATTTAATAAAAAAGCAAAATGCAAGAAAACATTCCTCTATCATCCCAATTTTCCCATCAATGCCTCTCAAAGAGTAACCCTATCCCCTAAAACAATAAATAGTTTTGAGTTTATTTCAGTATACAGCCAGAGCAGGGTAGCAGAGGCAGAAGAAGAAATCAATGTGATTTAGAAGGCGGGTTGCTGGCATTCTTCCATTCCCAGGCAAGCTGGAAAGCCAGATATTTTATTCTATCCCTCATTTTTATAAATCTGGCTTTCCATTTGAAAGCAAACTTTGAATGTGAATGTGGTGCAGCACAGTGACCATGCTGCCTGCCAGCTGCTCTCAGGTGTTCACTAGATCCTTATCAGTATTCTTGAGATAATGCTAAATGCATGAAAATTAGGGCAAACAGTCTAATTTCATCACATTTAAATTAGGTTATGCTCACCTCTGATAGCTAAACTTAGGTATTGGCCTCCTTAGTCTTCCAGCATTTTTACTTCCTATACAATGTAGATGTTGCTGATTTAATTGGAAATGATCAAGTATGCAGCGCTGATGGCCTCCTAGATTAATGTTACTGGAATGAAGCACTTCAGGAGCAGGTGAATGAGGCACTGTCCAAAATGAAAGGATGTACTGAGAGCCCCTGAAAGGGTGAATACATCTCTTATTAATGTACAGCAGGGATGCCAGGATGAATGGGGCTGTGTGTGTATCTCGTCGCCTTTTGATGGGCTGAATGAATTAGGCAGGCTCAAAGGTTTATCAGTTCCCTTTCTTGGCTGAGTGAGATTTTCCTTTGACAGAATAAGGGAAGAGACCCAAGAGTCATCAGCTGTATTTTTCTCACCTCATATTCCATGGTTGCTTTTCAATGATGATATATTTGTCTGTGTGTTCATGAGGAAAATAACCAAAAAGACCCTGAAATCTGAACATGTGGGAAAATAATTCCTATTTGTAAGAACTAGCTGAACAATTCAGAAAGCAGCACATTCTTAGACACTCTGCAGCACTGAAAACAACCTCCTTTACAGATATGTTCCTACCATGTAGCTTAGTGGTGGTTAAACACTGAACACAGGAGCCCCGTACACAGGACAATTTATAGATTGCCCACTACTCTGTGCTACATATCATCTTCTGTTTTTCAAGGGTTACAAATGGTAGCAACGACAAGGCATTATCACTGTGCAGGTAGGGCTTGTAGGGATCTCTCAAGTTACTCTCCAGTTAGGAAAGCATTGCAAACCCCTAACCTGCTCACTTTCATCTGCCTTGGCAAGCTCTCCTGTAGGGCCATACCTTGGGGAAGTGCTTTCCAGCAATGGGAACATTTCACTCCATGCCAAAATAGTACAGACAAATCTTCTCCAGGAGTTAATTTTCAGTAGGGTCCCCAGCATATGGATCTTGGAGGAGAAGAAAGTGGAGGGAAAAAAGCACTTTTCAATATAACTTTGTCATAAAAAAATGTTTCAGTTTTATTTTTAAATAATCATCCTCTTTTTCCTCAGAATGAGTCTTCTTTACAGCTTTTTAAAATGCTACATTTTCTGTATTACCTTGACTTTTAACACCATCCCTGTACCTGATGCCTGAAATATTCATTTGTACAATTGTATTGCCTATAGCAAAAAGAAGAAAATGAATGAAAATAGGAGTGAATAATATTGAGAAATAACTAGGATTTTGCTTGTTTGCAAGGTCAGTAAAACTGGTAGGTCAAAATGTCAATATAGCTAACAAAAGGATAAACTCTATGGTACTGAGGGTTACAGTTTCTTTATATTATGAAGTTCAACAGCATAACATTAGTTTGTTTGGCTGAGTTGGTTTTTTGTTTGTTTGTTTGCTTTATTTTTCTCTACTCTGGATTTCTCTGCAGAGCTGCTCCAGAACTTTATCTTTTTGATAGTTAGAAACCTTTAATTTCCATAATGTTCATTTATGGGTACTTTATTCTTAGCATAACTATTTTTAGCTGGCTCTCTCCTCTTGGAGTCTATTTACTTTTCAGTGTGGAGAACTGAGCTGCTAATGTCCATTTGCACTCTGAGGATGAATATATACATAAAATATTGTCTACCATATTACCTTAAAAACAGCTGTTATTTTCACATAGAGAGAGGAAAAAAAGGAAAAGCTAGTTCAGAGAAGGAGTTACATTTTGAGAAGGCACATCCTCAGGCAGCACACCTGTGTGTCCCGGCACAAGTTCGTTTGTTTTGCTGAACACCCTAATGTTTGTGCTGCTCAGAGGACCAGTACTCCTAAGGTTGGTATATCAGTCTTGTACTATTTTCATCACAGTCATACTAGCAATGCAGTATGTTTCCTTACAGAGATCATTGGAAAAGCAGTTTTCTAATGAAGAGATTGAATGAACAAAGGCTACCTCATCCCAGGAAAAGAAGTTATATCAACTTCAATACATTTCCTGTTCTACCTGTCTAGAAACCTGCAAATTTAGCTCCAAAAAGTGAGAATATTTCTTAGACCAGCACATCCAGATACCTAG